GAAATTTTCCATCATATGTTTGTTCTGGAACAGAATAAAAAGTATGTACAAGAGTTTAGTGCTGATGGCATATGTATTATAGATAGAAATGCAGAGGTACATCCAGTGCCAGCATTGTTATCTAGTTTATTATCATGAGTTTTATATAAATTGTTTAAGGTTGTATCACATTCTAAAAACAATAATTAACATCTGATAGGGATAGCAGAGGCTAATTTACTTGTAAGAATTGAATCATATAATTTTCAGATGAAAACCACTAGATCTTCTAAGCCATAGTTTGTAGTTTATTAGTCTGGAAAGTGTGAATGTGCTGAAATGGGTTTATTTTACAAAAATGTGCTCTTTGGATTGTTTGCCAGATCCACTGCTTTGTCTGTGTGAGCAAGGTTCAGATCCATCATTGTTTTTTTCCTTTTTTAATTTAAAATGTGCCTGCCAAGAGGTTCAAGTCCTGCAGTTATACCAAGAGGTTCAGGGACAACAAGCATCCAGCCTGCCCACCTACAAGTGTTTCACCTAAAAACATGTTGGGCTGTTTTGTAGCTTTAGGGACAAGAAGATGGTGTGGGAAAATGTTATGTAGGTAGAATTATACAGTGTACAGCTTGTATGCCACATAGAGCTAAAGAAAGGTGAAAAAAAAAGTGACTACAAAAAAAAAAACTGCTTAAAAATGAAGTACCTTTGTTCTTTTTCATCAACTTAGATAAAGAAAACAGGAAATCCAAGGGCTCCTTGATTTATAGTCCCACACTAAGTGATCTTCCTGCAAACTCATGTCTTTACTTTTGACTTCCAGGAACAGCATGGGTGAATCTTTTTAGATTTATTATATAACCCTGCGGTGCATGGAATCATGGGTTTCTCCATACTTTAACTATTTGCCTGCTGGAATGTTTTATCCCCATCATGACCAGGGCTTTTTTTGCTATTCAGGACTGTGCTACTTTGACTGGCAATTGTGCGATCATACAACACTGTACACAAATGAAATTCATATAATTTGTTACACACAAACAGAGCTGTCTTTTGATCACCCCTGGGTTTTTAAATATTTTATATATATATATAAACACACATAGTATTATTATTAGTATTATACAGTATTTATATAGCGCCAGAAAGGTTTGCTCAGCGCTGTACATTATAGTGGGGGACAGAACATGAGACAATACAGTAACAAAACAATACACGAGGGGTTCGAGGGCCCTGCTCTTTCGAGCTTACATAGTATATTTAAAAATGGATCAATCCTGATGTGCTGACGGCCGATATAATTTCCTAACACCCTTAAAATTAAGTTGTAATTTTTGTGCCTTTTTTGGAAAATGCAGAAGTTCAATAATTTTTTGTACATACTGTCACCAAAGCAATACATGATATGACTGGTGTGATGATCAGGGATACTGACTGGTGAAAGTATGTAAAAAACAAAACTCATCATGGAATGTGTCAAAACGGATGTTGATTGTCCTATCCTTCCATTTACCGTATTTTTCGCTCCATAAGACACACTTTTTTCCCCCCAAAAAAGGGGGGAAAATGTCAGTGCATCTTCTGGAGCGAATGTAAAGCGGCCGGTCTGGTATTTCTGCCAATAAAATCATATAGTGTTGCGCTCCCAAACCTCCAATTAATATATTTAAATCACTTAATCTCTATCCTTAAAATCATATACAAAAAATGAAAATTGTGTATATATGTAAAAAATACCATCAAAAAATATTAAATTAAATAATTAGAAAACCTCCATGATTAATACTAAAAATAGTAACTGTGATTAAACATGAATATTAATATACTTATAGAAATTCAAATAATCAATGTGCATAAATATACAGTGGGGAAAAAAAGTATTTAGTCAGCCACCAATTGTGCAAGTTCTCCCACTTAAAAAGATGAGAGAGGCCTGTAATTGGCATCATAGGTAGACCTCAACTATGAGAGACAAAATGAGAAAAAAAATCCAGACAATCACATTGGCTGATTTGGAAAGAATTTATTTGCAAATTATGGTGGAAAATAAGTATTTGGTCACCTACAAACAAGCAAGATTTCTGGCTCTCACAGACCTGTACTTTCTCCTTTAAGAGGCTCCTCTGTCCTGCACTCATTACCTGTATCAATGGCACCTGTTTGAACTTGTTATCAGTATAAAAGACACCTGTCCACAACCTCAAACAGTCACACTCCAAACTCCACTATGGTGAAGACCAAAGAGCTGTCGAAGGACACCAGAAACAAAATTGTAGACCTGCACCAGGCTGGGAAGACTGAATCTGCAATAGGCAAGCAGCTTGGTGTGAACAAATCAACTGTGGGAGCAATAATTACAAAATGGAAGACATACAAGACCACTGATAATCTCCCTCGATCTGGGGCTCCACGCAAGATCTCATCCCGTGGGGTCAAAATGATCACAAGAACGGTGAGCAAAAATCCCAGGACCACACGGGGGGACCTAGTGAATGACCTGCAGAGAGCTGGGACCAATGTAACAAAGGCTACCATCAGTAACACACTACGCCGCCAGGGACTCAGATCCTGCAGTGCCAGACGTGTCCCGCTGCTTAAGCCAGTACATGTCCGGGCCCGTCTGAAGTTTGCTAGAGAGCATTTGGATGATCCAGAAGAGGATTGGGAGAATGTCATATGGTCAGATGAAACCAAAATAGAACTGTTTGGTAGAAACACAACTTGTCGTGTTTGGAGGAGAGAGAATGCTGAGTTGCATCCAAAGAACACCATACCTACTGTGAAGCATGGGGGTGGCAACATCATGCTTTGGGGCTGTTTCTCCGCAAAAGGACCAAGACAACTGATCCATGTACAGGACAGAATGAATGGGGCCATGTATCATGAGATTTTGAGTGCAAACCTCCTTCCATCAGCAAGGGCATTGAAGATGAAACGTGGCTGGGTCTTCCAACAGGACAATGATCCCAAACATACTGCCCGGGCAGCGAAGGAGTGGCTTCGTAAGAAGTATTTCAAGGTCCTGGAGTGGCCTAGCCAGTCTCCAGATCTCAACCCCATAGAAAACCTTTGGAGGGAGTTGAAAGTCCGTGTTGCCCAGCGACAGCCCCAAAACATCACTGCTCTAGAGGAGATCTGCATGGAGGAATGGGCCAACATACCAGCAACAGTGTGTGCCAAACTTGTGAAGACTTACAGGAAACGTCTGACCTCTGTCATTGACAACAAAGGATATATAACGAAGTATTGAGATGAACTTTTCATATTGACCAAATACTTATTTTCCACCATAATTTGCAAATAAATTCTTTCCAAATCAGCCAATGTGATTGTCTGGATTTTTTTTCTCATTTTGTCTCTCATAGTTGAGGTCTACCTATGATGCCAATTACAGGCCTCTCTCATCTTTTTAAGTGGGAGAACTTGCACAATTGGTGGCTGACTAAATACTTTTTTGCCCCACTGTATAAATAAATGCAACAGTGAAGATAGTGTCCATATAATAAAAGTGACTTTGTGCTGAAAATTAATCTTCAATCCATATTGCATGTAAATCCGTGACTGATTGTGAATCCTCCCATTAGTGCAGATGTACGCTCACCTCCTTATTTTCCTGCAATTAGGCTATATGTGCTTTTGGTTCTCCTCCTTTGGAACCTACTTGATTAGAACTCTTTCTTTGGGATAGCAGATATCCGTAATTGCCGATATGTGCTGTGGGATTGATCCCTTCTCCAGAGGATTCAACTCCTCTATATTCTCATCTCCATGCGACTCTCCACATAGGAAAAAGATCTCGACATGGTGTTTTATCTTTTATAAAGATCGGCTTTATTGACTCAAAGTATAACACTCACATGTGTTGTATTCAGAAAATCGTCTCACAATGTGAACCGAGTCCTCCGCTGACTGTCGGAGGTATGTAACCGTGGTCCGGCAAACGAACTGACTCCCTCCGAGTGACGTTACAGTCCCACCCCTAGGTGGGACTGTAACGTCACTCGGAGGGAGTCAGTTCGTTTGCCGGACCACGGTTACATACCTCCGACAGTCAGCGGAGGACTCGGTTCACATTGTGAGACGATTTTCTGAATACAACACATGTGAGTGTTATACTTTGAGTCAATAAAGCCGATCTTTATAAAAGATAAAACACCATGTCGAGATCTTTTTCCTATGTGGAGAGTCGCATGGAGATGAGAATATAGAGGAGTTGAATCCTCTGGAGAAGGGATCAATCCCACAGCACATATCGGCAATTACGGATATCTACTATCCCAAAGAAAGAGTTCTAATCAAGTAGGTTCCAAAGGAGGAGAACCAAAAGCACATATAGCCTAATTGCAGGCAAATAAGGAGGTGAGCGTACATCTGCACTAATGGGAGGATTCACAATCAGTCACGGATTTACATGCAATATGGATTGAAGATTAATTTTCAGCACAAAGTCACTTTTATTATATGGGACACTATCTTCACTGTTGCATTTATTTATATATTTTATGCACATTGATTATTTGAATTTCTATAAGTATATTAATATTCATGTTTAATCACAGTTACTATTTTTAGTATTAATCATGGAGGTTTTCTTATTATTTAATTTAATATTTTTTGATGGTATTTTTTACATATATACACAATTTTCATTTTTTGTATATGATTTTAAGGATAGAGATTAAGTGATTTAAATATATTAATTGGAGGTTTGGGAGCGCAACACTATATGATTTTATTCACATTTTTTTCACATTGGTAGTTATGTGTTAGATGTTTGCGATCCGACTACATAGAGGATATATATTTTATGGTGTACAACAGGGAGCCTTTTTTTCTGTTTTCTGGCTCGCAAGATACTTTAAATATTTCGGTATTTCTGCCGCCACCATATCAGAATATCGGGCCGGCCGCTTAGCTCTTCTCTCCTGCAGGACCTTACCTGTTCCTCGCTCCAGTCTTCCCGCGGCGGTTTCTGTGACAGCCGGGTGCCCACTGCGCAACGCGAGAAGCGCCGCGCTTTGTGAATGGTCCGGTGTCTTCTGGGACACATGACAGGTCCCAGAAGGCTCCAGGCCATCCACAAAGCGCAGCGCTTCTCGCGCCTGCGCAGTGGGCACCCGGCTGTCATAGAAGCTGCTGCGGGAAGAAGGAAGGACAACTCCGCGGAAGTCTGAGCGGGTACCTGTCAAATTCAGGAACCCGTTCCCCCTCCTTCCCCAAAGGTCCGCAGTCTCTGGTAATCTCCTTTTACTGTCTGCAGTCTCTGGTCATCCCCTGTACTGTGTCCGCAGTCTCTGGTCATCCCCTGTACTGTGTCCGCAGTCTCTGGTCATCCCCTGTACTGTGTCCGCAGTCTCTGGCCATCCCCTGTACTGTGTCCGCAGTCTCTGGCCATCCCCTGTACTGTGTCCGCAGTCTCTGGCCATCCCCTGTACTGTGTCCGCAGTCTCTGGTCATCTCCTGTACTGTGTCCGCAGTCTCTGGTCATCCCCTGTACTGTGTCCGCAGTCTCTGGTCATCCCCTGTACTGTGTCCGCAGTCTCTGGTCATCCCCTGTACTGTGTCCGCAGTCTCTGGTCATCCCCTGTACTGTGTCCGCAGTCTCTGGTCATCTCCTGTACTGTGTCCGCGGTCTCTGGTCATCTCCTGTACTGTGTCCGCGGTCTCTGGTCATCTCCTGTCCTATGTCCGCGGTCTCTGGTCATTCCCTGTACTGTGTCCGCGGTCTCTGGTCATCTCCTGTACTGTGTCCGCAGTCTCTGGTCATCTCCTGTACTGTGTCCGCAGTCTCTGGTCATCTCCTGTACTGTGTCCGCAGTCTCTGGTCATCCCCTATACTGTGTCTGCAGTCCATTGGTTCAGAATATTTTTTTTCTTGCTTTTCTCCTCTAAAACCTAGGTGCGTCTTATGGAGCGAAAAATACGGTACACAGCTGAAGGCACAAGCTGTTATCAAATGGGTGAGGTAGAGATGGTAAAACAGCATTATATGTGGAAAAGAGATTGTGTCAAGGCCCCAACTCCTGGTCAGGGACAGTGGTTCCAGTTTGACTTAGGCCCCTTTCACACGAATGTTCTGATTTGGTCCATCTGTCTGTTTTTCAGATGGACCTGATTGCAACCTCCATTTTCCTCTATGGAGCAGCGGGTGTAAGGTGTAAATGGACATGTGTCTGTTTATATCTGCCTACATCCAATCCAATTCACCAAAAACAGACAGATAGGGATCCGTTCCCCTTCTGTCCAGCGGATTGGATGGCAGGTGGTTGTAAATGGACAGGCAGTCAGTTTATATCTGACCACTCATTGAGGAGAGCAGGCTGTGTCTGTGTCCGCCCTGCATAAACAGAGCAGACATGGATCTCTCATCTGTTGCTGAGCAAGGAGATTGCAGGCAGAGTCCACCTAATGTGATAGGGGCCTCAGATGGCCTCTTTGGTACCTTTTGAGAAACCAGTTGTCTTCTCTGCCCAAAATGTGCACCACACTGTCCTGGAAAAATTGCCCTTTTCCTTGAAGTGTAGAAGTCTTGACCTGTAGAATTTGTGCTCCTACTGTTCAGCCATTCATTCCTCCTTGATACAGAAGGGACGGGAGACTGGATTACCTTTAACACCCACAGGTGCCCTTCTTCTAGAAAAACAGCCTGATACTGAAGACTGGTATCCACAGAAAAGGAGGTTGTACACTTTTTCAGCCTTTTTCCAAATATATGGATACCAGCCCATATATTTGGTGTTTTAGGCTGGAATGTATTCTGGGGATGAGAAAAAGACCAAGGGGGGTATTTTTCTATAAACTAGTTTCTATTAAACTTGTGCAGTAGTTTCTAAGAAACTGACATTTCCATACCTTCAGTGAGTGGAATACAAAAGCTCTGATGTTCCAAGAATCTGCATTTTACATCTGGTACTAATTTTCTGCAAAACCGTGAAGCACTCTGCTGCCATCAAACCTAACAAACAGTAATCCCTTTCTTAAAGATAACCTGTCACAAAACATTGTTACATTAAATGCAATTGTTCCTAACAAATTTTTTACATATATTATTTTTAGTCTTTTTTTACTTTTCCTTATTTTGAATTATTTTATTGGTTCATTCAGTTTTTGTGTTGATGTCCCCCTAATTCCTGTGCAGGCTAGGAGCTGTGACCAATGGGCAGACTTTATATTAAGGTAACAACACTTTGGTTTGCTATTTATGGTGAAAGATTCTGGAGGACCGATGGCATTGATGACATCATTAGACACACAGATGCAACATGTGCATTCTAAGATGGCATGAGACATACCATCAATCCCCACTTACCTGAAATGGAGTTTCCAGATCAGAGTGGTAGACCAAGGTCTTCTCCCTGCCATTTGCACAGCTCATCAGGTTGATAATAATTGAGATGAGATCTTAGGGCCCGCCTTGTTTGTAAGTTTTAATTTAGTATGGGGGTACCTTCCTGGGTTATCACCTTTGTGACATTTGCTTATAATGACTCCAATAGCTCTCTGTTTTCACTGTTTTTGCAGCTTGATTTGCAGTGCCAAGTATCAGGCTTTGAGAATTACAACCTTTCTTCTTTGGGGAATTTCTTTTTATTTTGCATGCACCATACAGTAAGTATAAGAATTTTTGAAAAAAAAAGACTATTTATAAATGCAAATATATGTCTGTGACATGTTGCATATGCTTATTATGTCACTTGCTATTCATCATCAGATCAACAACTGACTATAATAATATGGAAATTGCTGAGTACTTGGTCTGGAAGAAGTGGATGTTGTCCACAAAGAGTGTTGACGTTGCTCTATACACATTCTGTAACAGTTTAAACAAAATTTAGGATATGTTAGCTGTTGTGGTCAGTGATTGCACATGTTGAAGTAGGTACCATCTGTTGTATGGAAAATAATAAAAAAAGGGAAAAAATGCCCTTTTGAGCGCATCCATATGCTTTTTTAAAAACAAAGTTATCAATAAACACCTATGACTTTTATGACATGATTTGTAGTCTCAAGTGCTAAAGTCCCATCCATCTATTCAATGTAAAGGAATAACTCTAGTTGATAATATTAATAATGTTTACCCCACGTCTGAGATAATCTGGAGCCAGGGGCGGACTGACAACTCATGGGGCCCCCGGGCAATAAGGGATCATGGGGCCCCTGTGTCCTTGCCCAAACTCAAAAAAGCCTATGAAAAAGGTAACAGGGGCATCTTATGGGACCCCCTACTGACCCCAGGCCCTCGGGCAGTGCCCGAGTTTCCAAATGGTCAGTCCGCCCCTGTCTGGAGCTATGCTATCCAGCGTATGGGCCACCTTTTTTAGACTCTCATCCAAGAATTTCACCTCTGCTTTCTTTACCTTGTGTGACTCCAACCTACATCACTGGAGGCCACATAATGAAGCAAGCCAGAGCCTCCCTGTGCAGCAGTATGGTTAGACAACTATCATTCGAAGACTGTACTTCTTAGGAACAATGTCATTTTAAGAAATATCATTAATAATATTTTCTCACGTTAATTTTTTAAAATGTGAACTACAATTTTGAAAATAAAATAGGGGCATATTATCAAGGCTGCTGTTAGAAATCATGGGGCCTCATACAGCCTACCTGACAGGGACCCCCCAAAAATAAAGAAAACAATATATTCGCTAAAAATACACTAGAATCATTATTAGGGTACACAAACACAACATAACTTGAAAAATTCCTGCTAAATGTAAAAAATAAAACTGTATTGAGTAAATAAATAAAACTTTATTAGTAGTATTTTTTCAGAATGTTGTTGGAGGGCTTTGGAGAAATAACGGTTTCCTGAGACTCAGTGTTCATACTGATCAGTTGGTTACTGCTTCTCAAGGGGATCCTACTTTAAAGTGGAACTCTCATATCTAAGGGGGGTTCTGAATGATGAGGGTAGGGGGCGTCTGATGTGAAACGGAGACTCTGATGTGAAGGATGGGGGCTTTGAACTAAAATGGGGGCTTCTGATGACTATGGACTATGATACAAAGGGGGATCTGATGTTAAGGTGGACTTCTGAAATGAAGGGGGACTTCTGATGTGACCTTGAAGTGTGTTTATTCAGTCTTTTACTTATTCATTTATAAAACTGATGATTTTTTTTAGCCGCAAATATTTGTAAAATATACGTTGAAGTTTGGACATCTTTGCTATAAGGCAAACACATGAACTCTACAAGTGTCAGACAATTCATACAATTACTTTGATCTGAGTAATCTGCAATAACACAGTCATTGGGGGTGCACTTTGTGTATCACCTGTCACATTCTAACTTCCAAGGTAGGGTTTGAATCTGTGAAACTCTTTTCAGTACTATTTTTTTTTTTTACATCAGTCTATCTGTATTTTAGAGACAGCAAAGAATCTGTATCACAGGCAGGGGTTCTCAGATCACAAGAATAAAGACAAAGAGAGTAAAATACATAAGGACACAGCCATGCCTGGATGAAAGCGAAGGTCTTGAGCAGGTAGGCTGTACTCCTTTTTTCAACTAACCCCGTTGCTTTGTTATATAAAAAACAATGAACAGCCACTCTTTAAAAGAAGAATAAACTTGCAAGTCCAGCAGGCAGCAAGTTGCATCTTTGCTCTCGTACAGAGCTCTGCTTACCAATGATACTGGTCACTTCTTGGTGAGTCGGATAGCATGTCCCCTCTGGCATTCTGGTTCCTCCCACCAGCTGCTACATCACTAATGTATCTTGTAGTGACATGACAGCTGGTGGAAGGAACCACAGCAACCACCAGAAGCACATTGTACTAATACATTTTAATGACAGTCACATGAATAAGAACATTATACATATAGGACCAGGCACTATACTATAAATATACATGCCACTTTATTAGGTACACATTGCTAGTACCGGGTTGGACCCCCTTTTGCCTTCAAAACTGCCTTAATTCTCCATGGCATTCAAAAAGTTGTTGGAAACATTCCTCAGAGATTTTGGTCTATATTGACATGATAGCATCAGGCAGTTACTGCAGATTTTTTGGCTGCACATCCATGATGCGAATCTCCCATTCCACCACATCCCAAAGGTGCTATATTGGATTGAGATCCGGTGACTGTGGAGGCCATTGGAGTACAGTGAAGTAATTGTTATGTTGAAGAAACCAGTTTGAGATGATTTGAGCTTTGTGACATGGCACATTATCCTGCCTTTCAGTGCCCATCAGTGATGCCTGTCAATGCCCATCAGTGCAACCTACCAGTGCCTCCTCATCAGTGCCACCTATCAGTGTCCATCAGTGTAGCCTATCAGTGCCCATCACTTCAGCCTCATTAATGCACATCAGTGAAGGAGAAAAATCACTTATTTACAAAATTTTATAACAAAAACTAAGAAAAAAGTTTTTTTTTTCAAAATTTTCAGTGGTTTTTGGTTTGTTTAAGAAAAAAGAAAAAACCCAGAGGTGATTAAATACCTCCAAAATAAAGCTCTATCTGTCACAAAAAAATGCTAAAAATGTCATATGGGTACAATGTTGCATGACCGCACAATTGTCATTCAAAGTGCGACAGCACTGAAAGCTGGAAATTGGCCTGGGCAGGAAGTGGGTACAAGTGCCCTGTAGGGTAGTGGTTAAACGATGCTCAATTGGTACTAAGGGGCCCAAAGTGTGCCAAGAAAATACCCCCCACACCATTACACCACCAGCCTGAACCTTTGACACAAGGCAGGATGGATCCATGCTTTCATGTTGTTTATGCCAAATTCTGACCCTACCATCTAAATATCACAGCAACCAGTCTGCCCATTCTCCTCTGACATCAAAAAGGCAGTTTCATCCACACAACTGCCGCTC